GGAAGGAAGGAAGGAAGGAAGGAAGGAAGGAAGGAAGGAAGGAAGGAAGGAAGGAAGGGGAGGGGAGGGAGGGAAGGAAGGAAGGAAGGAAGGAAGGAAGGAAGGAGGCAGGCAGGCAGGCAGGCAAGCAAGCAACCAAGCAAGCAAGCAAGCAACCAAGCAGGGAACTCGGTAATAATTTTCAAAGTACTTATTTAAAATAATGCATATAAAGAGAACCATTTAGATAATACTTACTGCATTTATAAGGAAATGAATCATAATGTAGTTTGGTTTTGGTTTAGCTTTATAATCCAAGTTAATTTAACACAAACTTGAGTAAATAAAATATTTGAAAAGCCTATGTTTCATAGTAAAGGGTTTGATATACCTCAGCCACAAGAATGCAAAACCATGCAAAAATTACCCAGTTGCGTTCTGTATTTAGGCCATCCTCTGCACACAAGAACATAATAAAAATAATGCTTCTGGGGGTGGTGGTGGGGAGGAAGATGTATTTGTGTGAAGAACAGAAAAAAGATGTATGTGTTTATATTTACCTTTTTGTTTAAGCTGTGCTGGCTTTCCATAAATTATTAAAATATAAGTTATTTCAGACAACCAATTGGACATGAACTGATGCCATCCATTACTGATTGGTGTCATTGGGGGTTGGTTGATTTTTATTTTGATAGTTATAAAATGGATGTTTTATTGCTTTTTTAATGGATGTATTGTAAACTGTTGAAAGTCTTTTTTGACTACGGCAGGTATTATATAAGTCTTCTGAACAACTTAATGAGGTATAGTGAATAATAATCATTGGGATGGAAGATATTTTTAAGGCCTATTTGAATAATTGGCTTCTTGATATAGGAAATATTTCTGAGTGGATATTGGATATTGGCTGGTATAGATCCAAGATCAGACACAGCCATACCACTGAAGCTAGCGTTGGGATGATGGAAGCTACATGAGAATATCCCCTAAATCTAATCACAAGAATGCCTAGCTTCTACTACAATGGAATGGAATAAAAAACTATAGTACCTATTCAAGAGGTGCAGGATGGGAAATGTAATACATTTTTGAAAGCTGTCACCAGTTTCCTCAGAGTGAACAAGTACTTTTTACAGCATTCAGATCAATTTGAAAGAATAAGTCAGAAGCAAAGGATTGTTCTCCTCTGAAATAAGTAAAACAAATTCGAAAGTTTCCAGAGAGCCCTACTTAACTATGGCCACCCCACTTCCAATTCCTCAAGGGGCAATTATTTTTTTAAATAGTTGCAATGTTATTTCTGATATGAGGAAAGATGGAGATAGAAACCCAAAAGCTTTGTGAAACATCTCTCTGCAGGTACACAAAGCCCTGACTTTGCTGGCATTTTGTAAGCAGACCAAAGCAGTCTTATTTCAGTGTGTCCTCAGTTTACTTTGTTTAGTTTTACGAGTGCCCATGTTTATTGTTGACTTTTTAAATGAATTACTAACTTTTTAACATTTTGTTTGCTTTTTAAATGATACTAATTGAATTGTTACTTTGCTTTGGTGTTTGTTTGTTTTTTCCATTTTGCTTTGACCTTGTTGTATGCTGCCCACAGCCTTCTAAGAATGGGCTGGACCATAAATGTTGTGAAATAATAAAGATACTCCTCTTTTGCAAAAATCTTTGTAAAATGCAACTGACATACCTGTACATGGAAAGGTGGCAGAATATTGGATGATCCAGAGTCCAGTTTGTTGAAATATATATTTTAAGGCGGGGTTTCTCAACTCTGGCAACTTTAAGACATGTGGACTTCAGCTCCCAGAATGCTGGGAGGGGAATTCTGGAAGCTGAAGTCCACATGTCTGTTGAGAAACTCTGTTTTAAGGTAACTGATAAAGAAAGCACCTTTCATAAACCATTGTGAATGCTCATAAAATTACTTCATCTATATACATTCTTGATCAACTATAGGACTGGTTTTCTTTACACATTCCAGAATAAGAGTTATATTCCAGCTAAAGTTAAGAACAACTACGTCCCATTGGTTTAATATAGAGAGTACAGTAAATCTATGCAGATTCTTCTATCTAGTAGTATTACTGGACAAATGCTTGTCTGCCAGAAAAGCTCTAAAATCCAGTATTTATACCAGATGATGGTATAAATATTTTAATAGTATGCTATCCAAAAGAATTGTGGTTATCCCTAGGAAGATAAATTTCCAATGATTTTTGCTGTGAAATAATTACTGATGTTGTATAAAACGTTTGGTTTACCATATTGCTGGATGGCATGGGTCATGATGAATGGAAATTGGCATAAAGTATCTACACATATAAAGGAATATGAGCTTACCTACAAAACATGTTGTCCTCCCTGTCCAGTTTTTTAAAGATGCATTCCTCCGTTTCAACACTGTCTTGTATGCCACTTAAAATAAAAAAACCTGCCAGAAAATAAGGAACCAGAGGCTTCATCTTGTCCTGCCAAAAATAAAGTAGTGAAAGGTTAACAGATTCCCCCAAACACAGCTGCACTGCAAACTTGCCTAGAGTTTTACAAATTATTTTAGACAATTATTTCCAAATTCTATTGCCAGTAGCACTTTAAGTGTTTGCATCAGACCCATGAAAGCTAATTTTACAGTAAACCTTCTAACCATTAAGATGTCTCAAGATTGTCTTTTTTGTGGGTCTGTCCCTAATAAACTAACCTAATGACCATTCTGCAATTCATGTGAGTAAACTGCTGATCCACCAATGGGCATGCATACAAATTAGATGGTAAATGTTTTAAATGTTGTTAATGCGACTAAGCCTTGCTACCCTTCAAAATATATACATTTTCTTTGTGGAAGAAAACGACCATTTGTAGAATAGCATATTTTAAAACTGTAGAATCTATGTCACTGAAAAATTGGTCTGATTATGTTTAACTGAGTTGTACCAGAGTACAACTGTACTCTGAACCACCTTGTTCATTTTTTCAGAAAAGAGACCGTAGAGCTTTCATAAAACATAATTACTGACTCCTCAGAAGGACATTATTATGTGTCTTAGACAATTTTTACCCACTTGACAGCATAGCAGAGCCAAGAATTGCTGCCTCAGATTCTTTCATAGTTTTAAGAAAGTTAAAGCTATGCATGGTATCACTTTTATATCTTTTGAATAGTCAGTTATTAATTATTCTACACTATGCGATGGCTTGACCAGCTGCATGAGTTTAAAAGGTCTGGTTAGTTATTTTTCAGCGTAATTGAACTACAGTAAGTTGTACTCCTATATATCTGGGCCAATCCCTCTCTCTCAGCCCAACCTACTCCACAGAACTGTTGGGGGAAAAGAACAACAGAAGAGCTACGTCCTCTGCCTTGAGCTCTTGAAGGAAAGGCGGGATACAATTCTGATAAAAAAATAAAATAAACAAGGCCTCCTAAGATCATGTCCGCCTCTTCCCCTTCTCTCATGCATTTGGCAACAACCTGTTTTAAATTCAACACCTACCGTAAAAAGCTTTCAAAAACTCACTTAAGCACCTTATGTACCCAAACTTCAATGGCAAAAAGTGTCGATTGGATGGTTAAATACATGGGCATTTCAAAGGGTGGGATGTCCCATACATCTGGAAGGCCCAAGTTATTTATTTATTTATTACATTTATAACCTGCCACAAGTTGGGGGTGAATGCTTAGACTGCACAGTCCTTTGAATGAGCACTCAGAGAACTGCACCTGTGATCATTTATATGCAAAAAACCCTCCTCCTCAGGTACTCTTCTATTTTATAATACTTACTGTATTGTTGAGCAAAAACTAAATGTAAAGCTGGCACATTGAAATGGATGAGCCGTTATAAACACACCTTCCAGATTGCCAAGTATCTAAACACAGAAATGCCCAAACATTTTAGGGGATATTTATTCGAGCAAGATTTGAGCAGCTGGACACAATGGAAGATTTAACCAAGTCCCTTAAGATGAATGTATTTGTATTTTTGGAGCCACAGAGATCGAGGATAATACATGTATATTATTTGAACGTCAATCGTATAAGAAAGGCAGAGATCAGTATCTTGGAATGCACATAAGACAAATGGCCTATTGGGATCCTCATATTAAAACAATGTATTTCACGTGTGGTCAGGATCCAAAAACTACATATAATACAGTGGTACCTCGGGATACGAACTTAATCCGTTCCGTGACTCTGGTTGCAACTCGAGTTGGT